TCATCACATTTTTATAGTACTTTATCACTCATCAATTAGTTTTTTTTTTTAAATAAATAGTTTAAGCAAAAAAACGTTTGGTTCCATACTTTTTATTCATCTGGTATATTACTTAAGTAACAAGACTATTATTAAAACTGAAGACACGTGATTGAAAATTTCTGTTTTTTTAAATAAAAGAAGGTTAACAATTCTATCTATACTGAAGCCGCGATGACTTTTTATGTGGTATAAGATATAAGATACCAGGAACATAGAAAAAATATTAAGAAAATTCTATCTATAAAAATTGAGAAGTTATGAGAGTTACACTTTGACTCTTTTTATTTCTGTTGAAAAAATAATTTTCCTAGTTTTTTTGCTATAGACTATTAGAAGAGGAAACAAGGAAGCTGTATCCTAAACTGTAACTCTGTTAAATGTTATTTGTGGCTTTTATTGGCAAATTTTTTGTACTTTTACTAAATAATTATAAAAAAAACATATACAACATTATCAGTGTCATTAAATGAACATGAAAAAATGTCAAATATTAAAAAATAAATGTCAATATTTTTTAAACATTTTTTTCATGTCCCTGGTATCTTATCTTACTTGAAATTTTCCTCTGTATATCTCCAAGGCGGTCAGATTTAAATTATAAATTTTTACATTTTGACAGTTGTGTTGACAGTTTTATACAATATTTTGGAAGATTTAAATATAGGTTTATTTTCGATTTGTCTTTAATTTTGTTTGTTGTATATATTAAATCAGACTTTAACTATGATTGCTTATTTATGTTGGTGGGGCAGATCAAATGTTACAAGGCGCTACTACATTTTTTCAATTTAAAATAAAGAAAATTATTATTCACATCTTGATAAATTATCACAAATCGTAAATTTAGATGACCAAATAGGGTCGTCAGATTACAAAAAAATATTTTTTTTTAGTACATGTTTTTTTTTTTAAGTACCTATAGGTAGTAAATAAGTACAGTTGCGGAATTAAAATTTTGAGCTATATTTTTCTGTCACTTTAAAAAGTTCACTGGAAACTACCTTTTACTGTCATCATGATTGACATTTGACAATTAAACTTTTTTTTTTGTTTTTAACAATTTATCTGTCTTAGGAAATTTATTAATTAAACTAAGTGTAATTAAATATCGCTTTGATCTGCTGCCCACCTGTTATTATTATCTTTGAAAGTAAATAAGTTAAAATGAAGAGTAAAAAATGAGGTTATTATAATGTAAAGTTTACATTTACATT